TTTTCACCCAAATACCCATTTGCATTTCTATTTTTTTGTTTAGCACAGATATTGAATAATCATATCATCAAATACTAAATGACTTTGGTAGACAACTGTTCGAGATATGTCTTGTTAAGATTAAATGTGAATTTCCAATATGAATTTCACCTCTTTCTGTGTTTATACTTTTGGCTGTTTTTTGCTTTTTTCTATAAAGATGGGGTTTCACCATGTTGCCCAAGCTGGTCTTGAACTCTGGGGCTCAAGCCATCCACCCACCTCAGCCTGGTGGGAACTTTGACTACCTCCTCTGTCGCTGGCCAATGGCCACGTTTGCAGGATTTGCTTTTCCGTATTGCTTCTTTTGTTTACCTTAGCTGATTCATTTCATCATTTGAATATTTAAAAAACTACTTTGGAAAAACACCAAAATGTGAGGATTGTTATGTTGAAATAATCTGCGTAAGGGGCTAGAAGCTGGGATTACAAATATTTATCTCTTCTGTTTATCTCATATTTGATCTACCTATTTGATGGTCTACCTTCCAAATGGATTCAAAACCTAATCATCCCATTTCTCCACTATGCCAGTGCTGTCTCCTGATGGAATCGCTGCCATCTCTCACAACAGCTTACTGCATAAGCTGTCTTAGTTCTCCTTGATTTTATCCCTACATCCCACCTCCCAGGGTCTTTGTACAGAGAAGACTGAGGGGTCCACTTGAAATGAAAGCTGATTACATCCCTCTGCTCAAACCTTTCAGAGTTTCCCTAAATAACTCAGGTGTCAAAGTCCTTAACTGGCCTGCAGGCCCTCCATGATGTGACCACCACTATGCTTTGGCTTCATTTCCTACTGCTCTCATCTTGCTTCACCCTGCTTCAGCCACAGCGGACTCTTTGCAGTGCCACACAAGGAGACCTTAACTCTAGCTGTTACATTTGCTTGGAAAACTTTTCCCCTAAACATCCACTTGGCTGACTCTCACACCACCTTTCAAGATTTCGCTCAGATTTTAGCTCTCAGGAGGGCCTGTCCTGGCTCCTCTATTCTTTGCCACAACCCAATCTCAATCCCAGCACATCCTGGCTCATTGGACTCCACTTCTGATGTTGCCTATATTTTCATATTATGTGAATTGTTTATCATTAATCTCCCTCAACTAGAAGTTTGGCTCCACGATGAACATGTATCATGGTCCACTTTATTCACTGATATGTCCCAAGTATTTAGAATGCTGGCTCTCAATAAATGCTTGTTGAATGAACAATCATGCCCAGAAGCATAGACTACGTTGTCTCATAATGATTTTTTAAAATTCAATTTGAAGGAAAATACCTGGAGTAGATTTTTTAGTGACTTTTATAGCTCTTAACTCACTCTGTAGCTTATACAATTATCAGATTTGAAATGGAAAGCTGGATTCTTTCTTTGTTCTTTTGTGAAACTAAAGGAATCACAGATAATGGCTTCTACAAACTGTCTTCCAGAGTGAAACTAAAAGACTCTCATCTATCTGGAGCCTTTTTAGTAAGCCTGTTAAAAGCTCCTCACTTGCAACTTCTTTAAGAATTAATGGATGTTCTTTCCATGTCAACCCTCTGAACCCTTCTGAAGAAGAAGGGACATAAAGAAAAACCTCTTGTTCACTCAGGGAAGATTTCCTGACACATTCTTTATTATCTTGTGAAATGTCATTCAGCCCATTAGAAGCAGAAGTCCAAACTGGTTTCACTGTTTATCCTGACTTTATAGTGATTAGAGTGATTGGACACTGATTAAATATTTTCAAGATTTTAACTTTTTTTAAGATAATTTTCCAAAATAGTATTATTTTATACCATTTTCACAAAATGAAAGTTCATCGCCCAAAATAATTTTGCTAACTAAAAACTTGGGGAAAAAATTATTTTTACCCCCAGGCTTATATATCTAAGTCATCGCTAGCCTATACTGTATTGGGCCAAACAACAGCTTAGTTCAGTTTTTGGATAAAAGTTATGACTGGGTGCAGTGGCTCACGCTTATAATCCTAGCAACTTGGGAGGCTGAGGTGAGTGGATTACTTGAGCTCAGGAGCCACAGAACAGCCTAGGCAACAAGGCAAAACCACATCTCTACAAAACATTAACCAGGCATGGTGGTGCGCACCAATAGTCCCAGCTACTCAGGAGGCTGACGTAGGAGGATGACCCGAGCCGGCAGTGAGGCTGCAGTGAGTTGCCACTGCACTTCCAGCCTGTGTGACAGACTTAGACTCTGTCTCAAAAAAAAAGTTACTATATATATTTTTTAATTTCATCTGCTTAAATAAAGAACCTAAATGTTAGTTTAACCAAGTGCCTTGCATGTCTGTTTTTCAGAAACAAGAGAAAACAAAAACAAAATCTGCCTGGGAAATATGTGAGCAGGAGGAACACATTCTGTTGCTAAGGAGAAAAGAAATCTAACTGTTCAACATTTATCTGACTATTTCCAATATATTTCTTTAGAAAATGTTAGCATTAATGGCCTGCCAAAAAAATGCTCAACTTAGAACTTCTAAAAACATAACATTAGATTGATGATTCGGAAAATTTAAAGATGTTTCTGAATTTAGTGACCTAACTTACTTGCCTCGTGAGTATCTCTTCATTTATTTGTTTTAAATCAAGGATTTTCTGAGCTTCTAGTGTACATCAGGTTCGACTGTCAAAGAATGCAATAGGGCCATGACTCTTCAACTAAGAAGGCAATTTGGTTGCTTTTATTTCACCAGGGAAAGTTCTAGATGCCTGGCAATGCTCTTAGCAAAGGAACCTGAGACACTAGTTTGCCATTATAAAGCTGAAAACGCCAGTGTTTCACAACTAAAGAAATCATAAAAGAGGTATATTGGTGGGCACAGTGTGAGGAAGAATGTACTTGAGGAAAAAATGGAGGAAGAAGGAATATCTGTACATTATAGGTTAAAACAGGAGAGAGAGACAGAGGCAGACAGAGAGAGACAAAGTCAAAGACAGAAACTTAGCAAAAGATACGTGCTTCTCTCTTAAATCAACAACAAGGAACATTTTTTTGAAGACCTATTCAATAAAAGAATTACCCTTTAATGCTTTACCCTATTTGATACAAAGTTCAATTACCCTTTAATCTTTAGATAACTTCTTTAGAAGCATTAAAGGGTAATCCAACAAGAGAGTTGACAAAAGCTGGAAAGCGTTGTAAGGTCTGAAGATATCGTTAAGTTTGAGTGACATAAAGAAAATAAAAGCTTTTTCAAAAATCCAAAATTGGTTTCCAAAAAGGAGAAAGATTACACATGGAGAAGCTATGACTATATTAAGAAAGAATATATTATAAATGTAGTTCAAAAATTGTTCTAAATTTGACCATATTCGAAGTTTAATTTTATTTATATCTTAATTTTGGCTAATCATATTTAATAAATATTTTAATAAACATTTATTCAACAAATATTTACATCTTTTCTTGCTTGCTAGCCAAATAAATTAGAAAAGTGACCATAATTCTCCACTGACAGTGTGAAAAAATAGTAGAGGTCATTATTTAAACGACTAATTTAATAACTTAAATCCAAGAACTGGCAAAACATAATAAAGATAAAAACTTTATCACACTAAAAGAAATTCTGGCAGAAAAGGCCTGGTAAGTGAATGAGCTACTGTAAGCTGTCAGAACCTGTCATCATTTGGGTCTATGATGGACAAGTGTCATGGTTCAATAGAAAGAGCATGTCCTATAAAGCTAAACAGACTGGGATTCCCATCTTGGGCACTCGCTGGACATTTAAGCATGCCATTCAACATCTGTGAATCTCAGTTTCCTCAACCATGAAATGAAGATAGTAGTATCTACTTCCTCATAATGTGGGACAGGAAACAATTTTTGAAACCAGGGGGGAAAAAAGGCACTCACCACAATGAAAGTGATGGATAAATCTGATGTATTAAAATCAAGAACCTGTTTACAATAAGAAATTGTGAAACAGAGTTTTAAAACACTAAAAGTGAGATTTGCTCACTTTTAATAGGTCAGTGCAAAAGTAGTTGTGTTTTTTGCATTATTTTTAATGGCAAAAACCGTAACTGCTTTTGCACCAACCTATAGCTGACAAAGAACTAATATACAGAATAATAAATTAAGAAATCCTATAATTTGAAAAGGAAAAGGAGGAGGAAGCAGCTAAAAATGTAGAAGAGACTTAGACACTTCACAAAAGAGAAAGTTCTAATGGCTAACAAAAAAGGTTCTGGGTGGGCCTCATTAGTCATAAATAAAATGCAAATTAAATACTACTACTTTTCAGGGTTGCTTGGGGAATTAAAAGTTTATACATTTAAAGCACCTACATACGTCCTGATACACAGTAGGTGTAAAAACCATAAATAACTTCCCCAATGTACACGGCATGACCTTTTCTAGGGGCCATTACTATATTGCTAAAAGCATCCAAATATGAAGCAACTCTCCATAGACTTAACATTAATTAGTAATATGAACTTACATTTGGTGCTTCCAACACTTAGAATCAAATTTGGATTCCTCTCTAGCAAATACACAAATCACTCCACATGCAATTTTAATGCACGAACCCCACTCCCGACTTCATGCTCTCTTTCTTGCTCTCCTTTTTTCTGTCTGCTGTTTTTTCATCCTAGATTCATTTTACATTGTTATAGTACATGCACATAAGCATGGCATTTAAATTTTTCCTGAGAACAAGTAGGACATAAACACTGTTAGACGAGCACTGGCCTGTGATCTAGAAGCCCTTTGCATCCTCACAAATCCTCTAAGTATGGTACATCTTTGGGTAACACGTAAATATACCAAGTTTATCATACCAGTGGGTTGCTATGGAGAAGGCTCAAAATCAGCACCCTGAAAATTGCACTGGCTCGTTGGCAGGTATCTTAATTTAGCCCATTCTAAAAATTTATCAGTCAAGCTACTTTCTACCCAATTGGAAGAAATGACATCCATGCATCGGATCGATGACCAACAGACTACTTACATCGGTACATACTGAAGGAGACTGAGTCTGGGAAGAGCGAGAAGGGGGTGGTGTCTCCGCAGCTATTTCAGGATCTTCCTGTTCACTTTCACTGTAACATTCTATAACAAAAATGAAAATGCTTAATGTTTTAACGCTGTCATCGCTTATTCCATAATGCATGAGCAGAGATTTCTCTCCATCTGGCTATTGCAATTTCAATCCAATTCAGAAAGTTCCTATCTAATGAACTACCTGGTAACTACCTGGTGCAAGGGAATTACATAAGAGGCAGAAACAAATGGCCCGTTCGAGGCTCCTGACCTCAAAGAGCATCCAATATTCAGGAAGAAGACAAATCGTAGCTTGGGGAAAATAAAATAATTCCTCAAAAGAGGTATGAGTCATAGCACTAAGAGAGCACAAAATCAGTAGATTAATTTTGATTGTAGAAATCATAATGAATTAAAACTGGCAGGATCGCTAAACCAACAGCGGTACACAAATCACGACAGGAAGGGAGTCCCAGGCTGAGGGAGCAGGCTGAGCCAAGTATGTGGAGACCCCTATGGGATACAGCAGAAAACGAAGCTGGAAGGTGGTGGAGGCCATGTCATAGAAGGCCTTACATGCCAGGACAAAGAGAAGTTCTGTGTGTAGTTTTGTACTAACTCACAATCTATAAATAGACAATGGGTACTTATTTTATGGAAAAGAGGACCAAGAAGATGGTTAGGACACCACTGATTTCATGGTCTTGCATGGTACCCCTTTATCATTTCAAATCCAGTTGCCACTTTTCCGTTTCTAACTAACTCTACGATTTTATGATTTTGTTATCAGAAGCTATAACTCCCTACTTCCAATTCCCAAGTCCTTTTGTGATCTGATCATTTCAGAAAGACTGTCAATTTGGTGGCCCTGGCAGCTAAATCCTCCCTCTTCTCAATACTAAGGTGTAACTGCATCATTAAGAATTAGATTCCTTGGCTCATGCCTGTAATCCCAGCACTTTTGGAGGCCGAAACAGACAGATCATGAGGCCAGGAGATCAAGACTATCCTGGCCAACATGGTGAAACCCCGTCTCTACTAAAAATACAAAAATTAGCTGTGTGTGGTGACGCATGCCTGTAATCCCAGCTACTCAGGAGGCTGAGGCAGTAGAATTGCTTGAACCAAGGAGTCGGAGGTTGCAGTGAGCCAACATCACGCCACTGCACTCCAGCCTGATGACAGAGCAAGACTCCGTCTCAAAAATAAAAGAATTAGACTCCTGCAGCTTTTGAACTCTGAAAGCTACTGACTGAGCTGAAAATATGGTCTGTGTCCCAATATGACCTTCAGGTTCCTAGTACAATCTTAGGGTAATTAGTCTCAGCACACACCTGGTGGAAATATTAAAATATCAGGGAGGAAATAGTGGGATGAAAGTGATCTGACCAGATCATGATGAGATCACGTCTATGAGTAAGAATTCCGCAAGTGGAGCAATTAAACATTTGCATTGGCAACTGTTTGAGATGTCATGAAGCCCACAGCTGCTGGAGTGTGGGTGAAGTGTGAAAGGCATTCCTAGCCAGCATGGGAAGCTCTATTCCATGTTGGTGAGTCTGTGTGAATATGTCTGTCTCTACATATTTTCAGATCGTTTTAAATGCCAAAGCATGTTTCCTCAGGATCAGACTCTACGTAGAACTTGACATTGTTTTTTCACCCTGTTTCAACCTATTCTAATTTCTTACTACGTTTTCAGAAATTTTAAATAGAACATACCATACCTTCATCCTTTGTAGTGGATTCCTGATGGATTGCAGCCAATCCAAGTTTATTTAACCACCTAAAATTCAAATAGAAAGCAAATGTTGACCAAAGATATTAGTCCCCTACCCATTCACCTTCCCCCAGACTTCCTTATGAAATTAAGTCATGAGTCTACCGTCAGTCTGCACATTTCCAGAAACAGCATAGGTTTGTGGCATCAAAAGCTAAGACCTCTGGTTACACTATACTTTCCTTACTCAAGGTATCCTTTGTAAGGTAAGATGCGAGGTGGCCCATTACTCAGTTGGCTAATGAGGGCAGCCAAATTAAGTATTCCAAATATATGCACAAATACATCTTCTGTAATTGTGCGTTTGAACTTTTTAGCAACCACCAAATCCTTTATCACTAGATTTAGTAACTTGGCTATTAAAGTTATTGAGTGTAACTCTTAATAATGTCACTTTATTTTAGAAAAGAACTCAGGAAAAGATCATTTATTTTTAATCCAAGAATATTTTTATGTCAATCAGTAAAAAATCTGGCTATAATTGGACAGATATTTTTTAACTGGAACAAATTTTAATTCCTTGGAGAATTTTATGTAACATAAAAATTGAAAATGTCCTATTTACCATTTTACTGGCAATGAATTCCAATTAAACATCAGTAACAAAAATAGAACTAGACGGAACCTCAAACCTGGCTTGTCCCTGCAGACCACTGTAGGTTCTTCTCAAGGGTTTACTTATTAACATATCTTGTACTACAGACTTTTAAAAGACAGGACACAAAGTGTGTCTATGACATATACTCCTAACCATATTAATCCTGCACTTACTGGGAAGCTTAATTTTGTACTTATTCTGAGACAGTGAAAAATCCATACTATGCATCTATCAATTCATCTATGCTTTTGATGTCTTCTAGTCTCACCCGGGGCCATGAACAAGCCATGAACAATTCAGCATGCTACACTTACACTAAGCCAACAATACTGCACTTTCCCACATCTGTAATGTCAGATAATTAGGAATCCCTACCCAACCCTCAACCTGCCACAGTCTTGTTGTACCTGTAATTTTTTAATAGAAAATGTATAATAAATTCAATTTTTAAAAATAAAGTAGGAGTTTCTAAAGAACAAAAATGAGCTCTAGCCTATGTTAAGAAATCACCTTCAGCACTGTGATATCACAAACTCCTTAGTAGCCACCTAAAATTGGACCTATAGAGTCCAGATTATGCAAGAGAAACCCAAAAATGTGTATCAAGTCTCAATAGGATAATAGGCAAAATAAAGGAGTAGAAATTTACAGGAAAAATACAAATAGCTAGACAATATGTAAAAAAAAATTTCTCAGCTTCAAGAGTACTTTGAGAAATGCATACTCAAAAACACAGGAAAATATTTTCACCACTGGATTGGAAACCATTTAAAATATTGTTGATTTCAAGTATTTAACAGGAAAGAGAAAAAGAAGCATTGTCATCTTTTGTTGAATTAAACGTGAAAACTGATACAGCCAATTCCAAGCAGGAAATTTGATGATATATTAAAAATTTAAATATCCATCCCTTTCACCCAACAATTCCAATCATAAATATCAATTCTACAAAAATACAATTGCATATTCACAAATAAATGTGGCAGAATGTTCACTGCCAACAAGGCTCATAATAACAAAAAGAAAAAAACATTAACAAGAAAATGAATAAATAATTTATTCTATAACATTGATTCTATCAATTTCATGTTATAATGAAGTTAATGAGAGGACTAAGATGGGGGTGGAGGTGGTTAATGACCTGGAAAATACATGAAAAAATACATCTTCTGTAATTGTGCCTTTGAAATTACAAATTTTGAAATCTGTAATGGAAGTTTGTATGGAATGGAAAACTCTAATATACTCTTAATTGAACAGATCGAGTAGAGAACAGTGTGTTTAGCCTGATCCACTGTGCTTCAAAAATGGTATATTTTTGTACGTGTATGAACTGGCATCCCAGAAAAGTGTCAGGAATAATGTAATCTTATTGTTAAAAGTGGATGGCCAGGCTCTGTGGCTCATGCCTGTAATCCCAGCACTTTGGGATGCCGAGGCAGGCAGATCACGAGGTCAGGAGTTTGAGACCAGCCTGACCAACATGGTGAAGCCCATCTCTACTAAAAACACAAAAATTAGCCAGTGTGGTGATGGGCACCTGTAATCCCAGCTACTCGGGAGGCTGAGGCAGGAGAATCACTTGAACCTGGGAGGCAGAGTTTGCAGTGAACCAAGATTGTGCCCCTGCACTCCAGCCTGGGCGACAGAGCAAAACTCCATCTCAAACAAACAAACAAAAAAAAGTGGCTAATTCTGCTCTTCCCCTAAGTGGCCTGAAGTGATCTGTGAAAATGGTTTGCTATTTACTTGACCCAGAAAAACCCCATAAAATCATGCAAATCAAGAGGTTCAAATCTTTGTATTCACTTTAAGAACACCTGTGAAATTCCCTAGGCTATCAGAAGTATGCATATATGAAAAGCCACCAAGTTATCGGGAAGATGTCACTTTACAGAAATGATGTGTACCATTCCAACCTTCCAGTGGTGGAACTGGTAGGTGTGCCCAGGGCAAATAGTGGGGCTGGATACAGGGTTGGTGGACCAACAAGAATGCTAAATTTTTCCTGCACACATTTAAAAGTGCAGAGAGTAATGCTGAACTCAAGGGTTTATAGGTAGATTCTCTGGTCATTAAGTACATCCAGGTGAATGAAACACCCAAGATGGACTGTTGTACTTTCCGAGATCATGGCCAGATGAATTTATATATGAGCTCCCTCTGCCACATGGAGATTATCTTTGCTGGAATGGAAACCACAAGAGGTGGCTCATGGGGGGGGGGGGGGAAGGCCAGGACAGTGGCTCACGCCTGTAATCCCAGTACTTTGGGAGGCTGAGGCTGGTGGATCACAATGTCAGGAGTTCGAGACCAGCCTGGCCAACATGGTGAAACACCATCTCAACTAAAAATACAAAAATTAGCCAGGCATGGTGGCACATGCCTGTAATCCCAGCTACTCAGGAGGCTGAGGCAGAAGAATCACTTGAACTGGGAGGTGGAGGTTGCAGTGAGCCGAGATCATACTACTGCACTCCAGCCTGGACAACAGAGAGAGAGACTCCATGTAAAAAAAAAAAAATAGTGTCCAAACAAAAACTCATGGCATGAGCATCTATTCAGCATAAAGTGAATACAAATAAAAGCAAAACCAAAAAGAAGGCTTCACCCCCAGGGAGAGAAGCTAAATTAGAAAGTGAAGTGAGGATACAGGAAACATTTTGCTTTGTCTCACAAGAATATGTTTTATGTATTATTAACTAAAATAAATATTTAAAAGTTCAGTTTTAAAAACTGACCAGGCAAAACAATACATTTCATGGATCACTTTTAAAAACACCATAATAAGAATTTTTAGCTTATACCTTAGTTCATAGTATAAGTTGATCCTCCCCCCATAAAAGCATCTAAAGGTGAAACAGGTAAAATACTTGTTAAAAGAGACAAAAAACAGTTTTCATTTGAGTGTCTGAAACAAGAAAAGGCATTTCTAAGCTCTTTCTCCAAACATGGAAATGTAGCAAAATAGATGACTGTTGACAATAAATATGTCTCTCAGCCATACCCAAAACTTAGATCCTTTTCATTGCAACCATTAGTCACTTGCTGTAAAAAATTAGTGATGGTTTAGAATCTTGTTTAACTGTTTTCTTTCTAGGATCCACTGGCTGAGAAGTTTTTTAAAAAACATCATGGCAGCAGGAAAAACGCTTATTTGTGGCTAAGTAGATGGATGCACAAAAGGACTTATATTTACATAAAAGAAAATGACAGATGTTTCCTGGGAGTTTGTTGTATATTAACTTGATGCGAATGTGTGTGTTGGAGGAGAACAAGTGTTAAGAAATCCATGTACAAAACAAGAGCATTCTTCCCACAACCAGTGTCTGAGAAAGGCAGCTCCTGTCTACTTAGAAACCAACTCTTTCATTACCCTTAATTACTTACCCATGTACCTTTAACTTGAGACTCACTACAGAACACGCAGAGTTTCTACTAAACTTAATTACATTTCCCTTCATCGTCCCTGAGAGAAATGTCACCATCCAGAAATGCAGTTGCCCAGGAAGAAGAAGTTCTAAAACAAGGACTCATCACTCCACATGCTACCCACTCCCTCCCCCACACCTCTCATCTTACCAAGTAATACCCAGATACACGATTTCCTGGCTTAAACCGACTGCATCAGTAAGAAAGGAAGTTCGTCATGCGTTATTGCAAAGTAAATCTCTATCATCTGCATAATCTTGTGGGAGAAGGGAGAAGGTTCATTGCTGGCTATTAGAAAAGTCATTTTTAGAATAATGAAACTCTATAATGATATTATAAACATGGGAAATTATTATAGATTTCAGGCCCATATAAAACAGACCATTTAGCCAGATCGTCAATTTTCAAGTCTAAAGGTCACTGAGAGATTCAAAAACGTAGAGTCCAGACACCTCAAGATCAAATTTCAATTTGCACCTTGTTTGTAAGTTGGAAAGATAACCACTAGCAGAATTTTAAGTAAAATGAACAGATCTTTACAGCATAGATAGGTGATAAGGTCTTGGGGTGAAGTATATATATCATATCTACCCATGCAACTCTACTTACCATTAATTAGATAGGTTTTGGCAAAGGGAGAACATAAAATTGGAAGATTAATAAACTGGAAATGTAAGTAAACACCGGGGTGGTGGGTGAGGAGGGGGATGTGGGATTTAGGGAATAAACCTGCCTGAAATACAGCAGATTCGGATAAACATGGAAGGGTCTCACACTTTCATTGGTTTAAAAATGCACCTTACTGTGTAGGAGAAATTCACTAGGTAACAAAGCACTTAGAAGGAATTGTTTCTCTGCTACTCTCTGTCTCACTCACCTTTTGCTGGAGAGAGGAGACCTACTTGCAAGGTATCAGCCACAGAATAAGTAGGAAGGAGGAGCCAGGGATGGAAACCAGAGCTGCAAGGCGCTTTTAAAGAAAAGCCAGGACAGCAGGAGGGATTGGGCAGGGGAGAGGTGGGCAGCACTGTTTCACCGCCATTAAAGACCAGAAAGGACCATCTGGGATGAACTGAGGTTCAGCAGCAGACTGACCTCACTGTCACAGAGCTCCGAGTACTAGTGGGCAAGACCTTGTGCCTTCCACATCCCACTTACATGGCAAGAGCTTTGCCAACCAACAGGACTTAGTGACTGATGTAAATAAAAAAAAAAATAAGAGCTTTGATGTGGAGGTTTTAACAACCTCTCCTTTCGTGTATCTGTTCTTATTTTTCTCAGATGCTCAAGAAAGCAAGGTGGGAAAAAAAGCTAAAACTAGAAAAAGGGTAGAAACAACTTCTCTATTTGTCTAAGCAAATCAAAGCCTTGCTTGGAAGACTCATCTGTCGGTTCCTTGCCTTGTTATTTCTAATACAGAGCTTCCCAACTTTCTACAGTACAAAGCCATTCTGTCCTCATCTGGAGGGTGATGCTCGGGAGGTGAGGGTTGGGGACAGATGAGAATCCTAGCTGGACAGAGCTACTGAGCAGATACCCTATGAGGAGTGTGTGTGAGTGCGTGAGTGAGTGCGTGTGTGTGTGCCCATGCACATGTTTGATGAAAGGCTGTTGCTTTTTTTCTTCATGTTTCTAGGGCAAGATAGCAAAGAGAACTACATAGGGCAGATAAGTAAGGAAATCATTATGTATGAGTAAAACACAGTAAGCATAAGCTCTATGAATGGAGGAATCGTATGTGGCTTTTTCCTTGCTATTGCCTACCATCTGCTGCAATGGGGCACACGGTAGGTGTTCCATAAACATATTTTCAAATTGGTCATGTGAAGTAGCAAGAAACACTAAGAATTCTGAGAATAGGTCTAAATAAAATAGAATGCCTTCTGATACCTCCAGTCAGCACCTCAAATATAGCCTGACTCAAATAGCCATTGCTGGCCAGGTGCAGTGGCTTATGCCTGTAGTCCCAGCACTTTGGAAGGCCAAGGCAGGTGGATCCCACTGAGGTTAGGAGTTTGAGACCAGCCTGGGAAACATGGTGAAACCCTGTCTTTACTAAAAACAAAAAAAATTAGCTGGTTATGATGCTGCACATCTGTAACTTGGGAGGCTGATGCAGGAGAATCGTTTGAACTCCAGATGCAGAGGTTGCAGTGAGCCAAGATCACACCACTGCACTCCAGCCTGGGCAACAGAGCATCACTCTGTGTCAAAAATAAATAAATAACAGCTGTTGTGATCACACCTGACTCTAAACCATTAGGGACAATGTAGAGCAGGTTGTACTGTGCACACAGCCTACTTATTTTCACAGACCATCTGGGAAATGGAGCTGGGGATCTACCATTTTGTGTCTGATGTACTCTGAGCAAAGACATTTTGCAAAATGTTCAGGACACTACACAGAGAGGTGATAAATACATGAATCATCACGATAATCACACAGCATATATTAAATGCCGTAGTGATATTTTGCATGTAGAATTCTGACAGCTGCAAGATCCGTTACATAATAATACTTTCAAGCCTTTCTCCTTGTGATGCTGACTCTCATTTTAACATGTTCTTTGAATGACTTCTGTCCACTCCTTTCTCAACTTAGTGGTTCCCTCAGAACTGTACAGCCTCCTTCTAAAATACTTGTAATTCTCCAAACTGCTTCCAAATATTAGAGAAGAAAGCAAGAAGGCATCGCAACTGCTAAATAAATTGATCCTTAAAGTAACAGAAATAAATAAAACAATAGCTATGAACATATGATTAAAATTCTAGTACCTGACCAAAGTTAAGTATACTCCCATTAAGGAATATGTTTACCAATTTCCTCTACTTACACGTTCATTTCCTGCACATTCTCAGCTGCAAAATAAAAGGTCTTGATCTGTGGATGGCTGATCTTAAAAGCACTTGAAGGAAGAAAAGCACAAACACATAAAAAATTAGTGTTTATAGTCGACAATGGGTCTGAAAGTAAATCAGTCCAATGTAAGATTTGTCTGCTTTCTTCATAAATTGACAAAACATAATTTGGTAACATTACATAACTATTGTCTAGTCTCTCTTTTGTATAGGGAACTGAGAGTCGTTTTTTTTTACGACAGAATATCCAGAACAGGGCTAAGCCTTAGATGGCCAGTAGTTTCCATTTAGAACACATAGGAATATCCTTTCCTTTTCACTTGCTAACTGCTTTGCTATAAAGATACAATAAATTAAATTTTAACGTGATAGAAATGTTACTTCGAACTATTCAGACCAACTACTTCAAGCAAGGTATTTCTTCACATTCAATCAAATATACAGAAGAATATTTTATTTAAAAAATAATCAGGTATGGAACATCCACTCTGTGGCAACACATGGGAAATCTTATCCAAGGCACCCTTTCTTAGTGAAGGAGAAATATGAAGAAAAGTACAAAACATTGAAGATAACAAGCAAGAAAGTGCTTCCACCCTACCCTTTAGACAGGAAGCCCTGCAGCACTGCACAGACCAGGGTTTTGGTAAATAGCCAGTCCTTTTAAAACCACAAGAATCAACTCTGGACATGTGCAACCACACCAGAGACAAAGACTTAAAGCTAACACCAGCTTACTAACTTTGTTAGAAGAAAACTACTCAATTGCTGCAATTAGTAACATAGGACGAAAGGAATACCCCTTTCTGATAAGACTGGAAAAGAGGTCAAAGGTAGACGAAATAATAAGAAAAAGGCAAAAATGGACACATATGCAAAATAGAGCAGACTGCTATCATGGATGAGCACTTGAATGGGAGTCTAGATGCCTGGGTGTACAGCCAATTCTCTCCTGAGCTGTAAGCAGGTCACAGGCTCTTTGGGCTGTGTCCTTCTCGGGAAAACCAAGACCATGAAGTTGGGGATTTATTTGGTCCCTGTCAGTTCTCAAATCTTTTGGATGTCAGAGTGTAATCTCCAAGCTTAAGACATCTCAGAAAATTCAGTTCCAAGGGTGGATCTGACAACTCCACGAACTAAGAAACAGAAACTGGTCTTGATGGCATATCTGCAACTCAGTGAGTCCTATTTAACTGCTTGTTCTTTTCTTTATTAGGACAGAAGCTTGACATCTGACCTCCCTGCCAGTCCTGGAGGGGGTTTATTCCATCACAGACACGGTCATCAACAACAGTCCATGCCAAGGCTTCAAGGGGGTTTTAAAATCCATCTGCTCCACAAAATGAAATTCCAGAAAATGAGAGGTTAAATGCTTCTATTTCTATTTAGGGTGCCAAGCCATAATGCTCAAAATTCTCAGACATTCGGATGTTACCTTCACTCACTTCTAAATCACCATATCACTTGGTGAATATTATGAAGAGATAGTATCCTGGCTCAGAGTTTTGTGGAAGATGAGAAACAACTTACTGCTTTTTCTTGCATTCAGATGCTCTTTCCACAGTGAAATCAGGCAGGTTGACAAATCCGTCAGCTTTCTCTGCCTGAAACAAATACATAACACAAATAGGAATGAATGCATCAATCCTGGGGATTAGTGTATTGAGATCATATACATGGAATAGGGATGGTATAAATGAAACGAGGGAGAATCATGAGATAACACCCTGAATCACCATGGAGGTATCCCAGATACACACAGTTCATGAGAAAAATTAATGTTCTCCTGACAAGTCACCCAGAATCTTTCCATAAGAAGTGACATGGCATAGCACAGCTTAGGCATGGTCACCATACAGCAGGCATAGGACCTGCCTCCCCTCGCCTCCTGTCTCTGTGGAAAACACAGCTAACCCAACAGAGTCTTATGTCTGCTAAGCCCATCAACATCCACAGCATCTTCGCTTCCTCCCACTCTAGTCAGCTAGCATATAGGAAGAAACCTAACTAGCATTCTTGGTATATATGGTGCCCAGTGTCCTGACTTTGGAGTTAGCAATCTATATTCCTATCACGGATTGACCAGTTAGTGATTGTTGTGATTTAAATGAGCTCAGATAAATAAAGCAGCTAAGAGTCACTCAACAAACATTATTTCCTCTCCCAAGTCTGTAGGCAGGGCCTTGGGGATTAAATCACAGAGCTACCTCTTTCAGAACCTCAGTCCCATCATTGATTGCTGGGGCTTCTTTCTACAAAGAAAAGACTACAGAAGAAAACTACATTTTTGAAAACTTAGCATATATGTCACTTTACATCTCCAAAAAAAAATGTATAGGAAATGTAATCACTGTCCCATCTCTCTAAGAATTTGTTAATCTGTGTTTTACGAATGAAGTGTAACTGAGCCACAATGAAGCGAGGCTGTTTGTCACCCATAGAACTCAAATCTTCTTTCATCTACACTGGTGTCTCTCGAGTAGGGAATAGAATCTACACGATTAAACATAAATGAGTCTGTGGTTATTGGGAGATGAGTAAAAATTGATTTTGAAAATACGATCTTAATTTTACAAGTCAGCTAGCCATTAAGTCAGCACCGTGGGTGCTTTCAGTTTACTTCCTCATTCTGCCCTTTCCTTTATTGCCAACTAGAGTGCAACTTGCATTCTTTTCTTTGGAAAACTGAAACTGTGAGGCATCCAACCCCAGGTCCATCTTCTCTCTCTTATGTGACTCAACTTATCTAAATTCTTCACCTGAAATGCCTTCCTCTTATAAGATTCAAAACTCAAGGCTGGGAGCAGTGGCTCACACCTGTAATCTCAGCATTTTGGGAGGCCGAGACAGGTCGATCACTTGAGGTAAGGAGTTTGAAATCATCCTGGCCAACAAGGTGAAACCCCATCTCTACTAAAAATACAAAACAATTAATTAGCTGGCTGTGGTGGTGGGCGCCTGTGGTTTCAGTTACTTGGGAGGCTGAGGCAGGAGGTCAGCTTGAACTCAGGAGGTGGAGGTTGCAGTGAGCCAAGATCGCGCCACTGCACTCCAGCCTAGACACCAGGATCTGTTGTCCAGGCTTTTTTTTTTAGACCTTGTCTTTAAAAAACAAAATGCCGGGCACAGTGGCTCACACCTGTAACCCCAGCACTTTAGGAGGCCAAGGCTGGCAGATCGTGAGGTCAAGAGACCTCCTGGCCAGTATGGTGAAACCCCATCCCTACTAAAAATACAAAAATTATCTGGGCGTGGTGGCACATGCCTGTAGTCCCAGCTACTCAAGAGGCTGAGGCAAGAGAGTTGCTTGAACCTGGGAGGCAGAGGTTGCAGTGAGCTGAGATCGTACCACTGGACTCCAGCCTGGACAACAGAGTGGGACTCTGTCTAAAAAAAAAGATTTAAAACCCAATCTAATGGATACTCTCTTATTTAAATATTGTATATGCATATGTGTGTATACAGAGTGAATATGTATTCATTCATATGTGTATTATACATATGCAGCGTCTCTCTTGACAGGCTGCTTAATTACTGGATGGTGATTCCCAAAGAGAATATAAGGTATTCAAAGAATATAGACTAAGTCAACTTTTTGTACCATGCGCAGTGGTCCCTGTGGATTCTCAATTAGCCTTACCAAAAAAGAATCGTTTTGAAAAACTATGTCAGGTCCATCAATTCCACTTTTAGATCTACAGACTGAGTATCGCTTATTTGAAATGCTTGGGACTGGAAGTGTTTTACATTTCAGATTTTTTCTGATTTGGGGATATTTTGCATATACAAACAAGTCAAGCATCCCAAATCTGAAAATCCAATACCCAATGAATACTCCCTTGGAGCAGCATGTTGGTGCTCATAAACATTTGGATTTTGGAACATTTTGGATTGGATTTTTGGATTACAGATGCTCAACTCTATGCCCAAAGGAACTGAAAAAGGGTACTCAAATACATGTGTAGGCATGTTCACAAAGCACTGTCCACAACAGCCAAAAGGCAAAGACAGCCCAAATGTCTGTTAACAGATAAACGGATACATTGATTGTGCTATATCTATACAATGGGGTATGATTTAGCCTTGAAAAAGAATAAAGTACTAACACACACTACCTGGATGAACCTCGAAAACTTTGTGTTAAATGAAAGAAACTAGACACAAAAGCTCATCTCTCATATGATTCCATTTATATGAAATATCCGGAAGTGGAAATCAGAGAGACAGAACACAGCCAATTGGTAACTACCAGGGGCCCAGGCAGTAGAAAATAGGGAACACCGCTCAATGGGTATGGGGTTTCCTTTTGAGGTGATGAAAGTATTTGGGATTTAGATAGATAAGGGGGTTGCACAACACTGTGAATGTATTAAATGCCACTGAATTGCTCATAATATTAGGTTATATGACTTTCATCTCAATTTTAAGACCCCATGTTAGGCTAAGGTGTTTTTATGTAAATTTCCATAACTGATTTAGAAAGAAAAAAAAGTAACTTAAATTCAGCATTTGTTTCTGCTTCCTCCTCCCATTCATCTCTATACTCACTGTTCCAGAGAAACTGTAGAGACCAAAACTCCACTTACTCTCACGTTGCTAAATCTCACCTACTGTTGTTATTAGTCCTCACCTAATTGAACTGTAAGCGATGCTATAGTCTGTTCCTTCCCTCTGGAGTTTTCCTCCTATCATGGCCTTTTTAACAGCACATTACTGCTGCTCCCCTTTTTCCTCTAAGTATGTCTCCTCTTTCAGGGGTCTTGTTCTCCTGTCTGTTTCTCAAATGTCAGAGTTCCCTAGAGTTCTGTCCACAGACTTATTTTCTTTTTGTTTCAATATTCTCTATGGATGATCGTACACACCCTCATGGCTTCATCTGTCATCACTGTACACACATATCCAAAATCCATACCTTGTATCATGACTGTACACGTATATCCAAAATCCATATCTCAAATTGAGATTTCATCCTGGAGCTCCAGTCCCAGATTTCCAACTGCCTCATAAACACATTCCCATGGGTGCCCCCCAAAAGTAACAAACCCAAAATCAAATTCGTCCTCTTCCTCCATAAAATGGCTATTCCTTTGTCCTGTGTTCTCGACTTCAGTAAACAATACCACTTTCTAGCCAGTTACCAAAACGAGCATCTAAGAGATATCCCCGTCTCTTCCATTCCCTTCTCAGAGCCCCTGCAGGTAAACTCAAAGTTGTATCATTGCTACATCTGCTCAGGTCTTCAATCTATCCATTATGTACTACCTCCTTCAACTTACCAATAATGTTTTTTTGAATTACTGCAAGTCTCCTAAACTGTTCTCCTTCTCTATAATTCTGCCCTTTCATCAATTGTAGTGTCCAAATCACAGTCACAGTCACAGCAAACCTTTACATCATGAACATTCTTCATGGCACTGTTTGATTAAATACGCTGTGTGGTGTGCAGGTCAAGTCTAAATGCCTTAGCAGATGATAAAAGACCTTTACAATCATGCCCTGACTAGTGCCACACTTTCATCTCTCCTCCTCTCCCATTCAACCAAAAGACAAACAGAAAAATCTAAACAAAGAAAAGGCAATACTTCTTTGGAGCTGAATTAGAATTAGCATGATTTGTTTCTAGACAACTTATTTTCAGTAAAATAAATCTATCTCAAATGATATAATACAAAAATCAATCAATAAAAATGTAACATACCTATATAAGCTTTTAGTAATATTTTTATTCATCTAAAAATAAAATCAGCCAGGCTCCATGGCTCACGCCTATAATCCCGGCACTTTTGGAGGCCAAGGTGGGAGGGTCAGTTGAGCCCAAGAGTTCAAGCCAGCCTGGGCAACACGGTGAAATCCCATCTCTACAAAACTATAAAATTTAGATGGGCATGGTGGCACATGCCTGTTTTCCCAGCTAGTTGGAAGACTGAGGTGGGAGAATCACCTGAGCCTCAGGAGGTGGAGGCTGCCATGAGTCATGATTATACCACTGCACTCCAGCCTAGGTGACAGAGTTAGACTGTGTCTCAAAATAATAATAATAATAATAAATTTAATTAAATCAATGTAAAAAATAAATTGTAAATCTTCATGTGGGTGGATTCCTTTTCTGATTAACTGAAACAGCTGATATTCCCTTAAATAGGAGCCTAAATAAGTTTGGGTGAAAACATCTTAGCATTTCCCCAGGAAATTATCACTTTATAAGCAGAGGCTTTTTTAAAAAAATTCTGAACAGTTGAACTATATTCAAAATCACATATAATTTGTGTCAAAAATGGTCCTTGCTTATTTGACTTGCAAAAAAAAAATGCCTCAAAAATGACAATCACAGAGGGCAAATCCTGAGAGAACGACAGTTTTCTTCTCTTTCTCCTCCTTTTCCTCCTCCTACGCTTCTCCAGATCCCTTGTTGCCTATTATATTAACTAAAATAACTTTGTTGTATGTGATCCTTCTTCTTTAATTCCTAACTTTCTAAAAAGTGTCCTGCAGGTGGCTGAGCAGGTGGCTCACACCTGTAATCCCAGCATGTTGGGAGGCTGAGGCAGAAGGATTGCTTGAGCTCAGAAGTTCAAGACCAGCCCAGGCAACATAGGGAGACCTT